ACAAACTCATGTATTATCATCGCAAGATGAAAAATGTTCAGTATACTTACAATACATACAAACTACAAGAAAAAACATCACCAAAATCAAACATCAGGTCGAGCCATAAGCAGGGTACAAAAGGAACAAATTCAATGAAACATTTATTTGATTTCAAATTTAGGCTCCTCACCTTTCATAGCAGAGAATCAAGAAACCCTAACTTTCACCGGTAATGTACATTAAGTAGTGGTTGATAACTCAGAAAAGCCAAAAGCAGGACACAAAGCTCAAATCTCTTGGTGAACTCCTTCATACTTTTTTGTTGCGAGGATTTTCTTTGTATCCGCTTTTCGAGATAAGAATTGTTAACCACTAAATAGCATTTATCTATGTCACTTTTTCTATATGGTTCAATGAACTAAGTATCGAGGACTAAATCAAACATATTTAGAAAGATATGGGCCACTACAAAAAACAAAGAAATGTTGATTTGTACCATTAAAGTGGTTAATCTTGATTAATTAGTATTAATTAAAATGAAATAATCATCTTAATTACTTGAAGTTAACTTAATCAACTCTTTATTAATCCCAATTCAATTTCACTCATTTTTCCAATGGGCCTTACGTGTTGCGCCTTGTTAAGAATTCTTGCCTTGTAAATGAGTAAGAAGACTTAAAAGACATTTCCATTTTAGAATATATATATATATATATATATATAAAGTCTTTATTTCAAACTATAAACCACAATTTTTTCTTTTGCTTTGCTGTCATACCATAATTTTTTCACAGTCCATTTTAATATTTCTCAAAAAAAGAGAGAAAAGAAAAGAAAAACCTTAATTTTTCTTAAACGTTACTTTCTCACAAATTCATCGTCCTTTAAATGATAATTTTCAAAATATTTGAGTTTTGATCTGATGTGGAAATTAATATGAATAATGTGTCAAAAAAAAATCAAGATTTATTTTAGTTAATGCGATTTTGCACTTAATCGAGTATATTTAAAATGGATGTTTTGACGTGCGGGGACTTCAATATGACATGAAAGGAAATGTGG